GGGGGGGGGTCCGGGGGCCCTCCCCCGGAAAATTCTAGAAATTTGTAATCTAATTAGACGCATTTTGAGACTTCCGTGACGCAGATTTTCCACCAATGTCTGCAGAAAAATTACTTTTTCTTTTTGAACTTTCAGCATAAAAGACTTTTGAATTATATGCATTCGAAAAGATCCTGGAAATTATTGAAATTTTAACTCTATTTGGACGCATTTCGAGGCTTTTCTGATTTTTGAATTTAAGGAATGAACACTGTGTTGTCATTTAAGACCCTACATTAAAAGAGATAAATATCTTCGACGGTCTGAAACTTCTTCTTTTCTCATCTTCTGTCTCCTCTTTCCTCCTTTTTTTGCTTTCGGGGGGTGGGGGCCTTTATTAGCCGCCTTTATTAGTTCGAGTGCTTCATTAGTTCGATTACGAACGAATTTAAACACTAGATGTATTGAGGTAACGCATGACCCCTAAAATAATGATCAGGGCTTGCTCGTATGTGGTAAAAAGTACAGCGGCTGACGGACGTTTTCCAACTTGTGCGTCTATCGCTTATTTGACTTCACTGCCGCACCGCTCTGTTCTGTTCGAACATTTGAACAAAATTGGCATATCGATGACCAAAGGGCGAAACTACGTATCTCTGTTTGCGACGGTGTGGACCTGTTATTTTTTATTTTTTCTTCGGAAAACTAGTCAACGTAATTTTTTTAAAACTCCTTTGATTTTTCTTCTTTGTTAGTAGAATATTTCTGTATACCTATCAAGTTATGAAGTTAATCGTTCACTTCAAAAATAAAAGAAAATAGGAACAGAAATTTTGAAACACCGCTGTGGAGATACGTGGTTTCGTATTTTGGCCATCGATATACCGATCTTCGGTCGAAAATGTATCAGGTTACAATCGATTTAAACGATGATTTCTTACCCTCAAAAACGGAGAGGTGGACAAGTAGACAGAATGATGCTTGGAACACTCATGCCACCTCCTTGCTTCAAGGTCTTACCTCAAGGTTGCGGGAGGTATCGCCGCTCCTCTGACGTAAGAGTGCATCTCAATAAATTTCCATGTGAGCCTTGTTCGCCGGATAATTCTATGCTTTCCACGGCTCATGTGGAATGGACGCCCGCACGCTTCATGACTGCACTGCACTCCCCTCCCCCTCCCGCGCCCAAATGACATTTCTGTTCGCCTCCAGCCGAAAACATTGAATTTTGTTAATTTTTAAAGACCAAAATAAAATTGAAAAAAAAAAAAAAAAATCGCAATTAAATGTTAATTCGTAGTATCTCATTTATGTCATGTTTGTGTTTGCAGGTGATATGGAACTGTCTTGTAGATGACTGTGGTCTTTTTCTCCGCTATATCCTTGAGCGGCTCACCAGAGAAAGATCTGAGCTAGAAGCAATGTTTAAAATTCTTCGACACTTGATCCGTTTTGTGCCTAAACTACCTCAGCAAGCTGCCTTTTCTCTATACAATTACATCATTGGCTATGTGATGTACTATGTTCGATCTCCGCACGAAGATGGACAGAAAATGATCGGTGCAGCGCTTTCTGTACTCTGGATGGTAATTTGTTTTCCAATTAAATTTGAGATATTACATCATAGTCATCATACCATTCTTTGTGATACCATTAGGCATGCAATTAAAAAAAACCCGTAATATCTTGTTAAATCCTCCCTCAGTTCTTCAATAGCTTTGTAGGCTGTTAAAATGTCTAATTCGAAGGTTTTTATTATAAAGCACTAGTGTAGAAATCCAGCATTCATCCTGGATTTTAATTTTAACAATGTCCGGTCATTCAAAGTGACAGACAGAATTATACAGGAGGGTTTCAAAACTGAAGAATAACTCCATTTTTGGGGGATAACTCTTAGAAAAACATTTTTCTATACTATCTAAAACTTGCATTATCTTGCTAATATTACTGACTTTGAACCGCAAATGATGTTCTTTTCTTTTGAAAGTACGTCAAAAAGCTTGAGGAGCGGAATTCTTCAGTTTGCCGTCAACCAAATGCTGACTTATTCTTTTTATCTTTTCAGGTTGTTCACAGTGTCCAGGGGATAATGTTCAAAGATTTGAAACAAATTTTGCGCAAAGAACAATGTGATGCATCAATTTTACTCACTGCAAATGTACCATCAACAAAAAAGATTATTGTCCATGGAGCTCATGGTGAGAAATTGTTTTTTCTTAAAACGGGGCTATGCTTAGGGTGTCCTTAAAGTCTTGTCACCAACCTTCGTGTGAGCGAACAAATGAAACCCCAACTTGCGGGTTGTATAAGCTTGAAGATTACATCGTTAACTTATCACTGCAACCTCATTTGGTAAAAAATTCAGTGAGTTAGTCATGGCCATTTTAAGGTAACGTGTTTGCTTAGCCTTAGTCTATAAGAACAACCCTTCTCAACAAATAGAATTGCTTTATACTCCTTATGTCTCCTGTGTCTATACCTTTGTCTATCAATTTCAGTAATCAGCCCGCTGTTTACCTTAAATCATCCCTAATCTTGCCCTCATTTTTCTAGAGCAAGATGGCGGTGGCATACCATCTCAGTTCCCAGTCCAAGAAGACACGCAGTTCTGTCAGATACTACGAGAGTCCCTAGATTTCTTTGGAATTGAAGAGGCACAACATAAAGAATATTTTCTTGTTGATTTAAAATCTCGTAAGTAAAAATTTATCTGTTTTATCTTAATCTTGAACAATTTTCTTTTTCTTCTCTCTATACTATTCAAATATGAGTGTGTATATTCTGTGTTTTATTACAGAACACTGATAAACTTAAGATTTTACTGTTCCAATTTTTAAACCTATTAATGATGCCCTCATAAATTTTCCCCTTGTTAAAAAGCATAATCCTACAAAACTGGGAAGTGATTCAAGTCCTCTTCTTTTTTTGCAGATCAAATTCACAATCCTGCATCGTACGTGCGAGATTTTTATTTTTTCAAAAGATCTCAATATCCGCAGCTAGAACTGGTACACATGAAAACTGATGAAGCATTCAATGCCCTCCAGCGACAAGAATTGTACCGCAAATTTGTTGAAATCGGCAAGGTTCTCCTAACGTGGGCTATTTTGAAGAATGTTGACATGGTATGTGTTCCAAAAATTCATCAATTATATTACCAGGCTTGACTCATTTATTTATAAAATGTTCAGTGTGCAATATTTATTTTGCTGAGAGTTTCACCTATCCATTCCTCGTTTATGAATGGTTCTAGGCAATAAATGCATTCATTGACAAAAATTGTTTAATCACTAACTGCGTGTAGGTTGTCTTAGACAGATCTTTTAGTGTTGGTCCAAAAACCAGGGTTTTTCAAAGTCCTGCTTCAATGACATTTTTTTATGTTCAAATCTTTATCTTCAATTCTTTTGAAAAGAGAGCATCTGAGAGAAATTGGTGAACATAATAATAGCATTTCAAATCCAGTGAACGGAGGGTTGGCCATATGGCATTGTGTGCTACAACAATAGATCATGTGCCTGTTGATTTTATTTATTCTCTCTCTCTTTCTCCCCCCCCCCTCTCTGTAAAAAAGAGAAGGAAACTTGTGATTTAAGTTGATAAAAATGTATATTATTTAACATAAAATCCATTTTCTAAAACGCACAACCTCAGGGTATCATTTATCTGCCAGTCAAATATATCTTTCAATGAAGCCCTGATGAGAGATTTCATAATTTAGATTTATGTTTTTCAATATAATTTGTTTTCAGGTTGTGCAAAGAGTAGTTTTTTTACACGAAGAACTTATGAAACTCCCTTCTTTTCCTCGGAAAGCCTTAGAGACTGATCTGGATCTGTGCAAAGGCGGAGAAATGGGGAAGGTAATTATGCAATGAAATTATTGGTATATTTTAATGGCGACATACATATTTTGAGACCTTAGGATGTAGAAAATGAGGAATTTGAAACTCCAATGGGAACTGGGGTACATCCCTTGCAGTGATGGCTCAGAAGGCATCCTGCAGAAAATTTTTTTCAATTTAACACCATCCATTCTCTCTGTTAGCTTATATTTTTTATAGACAAAATGAGAAGAATTATTGATTACACATACATTAATTCATTGATTTTACTAATTTTCCGGATGCGTTGTTACTTACATTAATTGTGAATTGAATTGATTGTTGAATGAAGTGTTTTATCTAAAGTGTAAATCTTTCCCTCCTTTCATCGACTTTATTCTTGACCATCGATTTTTCCTTTCAGGAGCTACTTGGCCTTGATGTTTTACACAAATTCATGTGGGTTCGTCTCATTGCTCGAATGTTTGAAGCAATGGCTGGAAATTTTGCTTACTCGGGAGATATTCATCTCTTCCTAAACGTTTTAAATGGAGCTCTTGCTTTACATAGCGAGGATGCCATTATTCTCAGATATGTTTGTGCAACATACATCAATGCTGCTCATAATTTCAAAAACATCTTCTCAACCAATGGGTAAGTCTCTGAGATCAATGTTTTGACAGTAAAAATTCGAGAATGTTTATCCTTACATTTGTGGATTCATTCGTAGTTTAGTTTTTGCTCACTTTTCAAACCCTTCTCTTGTGGAAGAACTCATCATTTTTTGGTTATATATTGTTATAAATGGAGCAGGAAGTTTTATCAAGATTGCTGGCGTTCATTACGATTATTTTTTTTTTTTTTTTTTTTTTTTTGCAAAATGTTCATTAAATCAACACTGCTTTCAAATGCTATTCTTTTCTCTTTTGTTTCAGATACCTCCTGATAATTCCAGCTCTTTTGCAACTTTACTCAAGTCACCAGACGAATAAACTCGTTACAAGGACTGTCGAATACACCATCAAACAGTTTTACCTGATGAATCGAAAACCATTTATTTTACAAATGTTTGGTAGTGTTTCTGCCATTCTTGATATTGATGAGACTGCAGAGTTTGGAGAATCTCACAAGGTGATTTTTTTAAAATTTAATAGTTTTTCTGCCTAGAGGGGCACCAGCTAGATGAGATTACAGCATCAATGCGACTGCCCTATCTGATTTTTTAAAATTCTAATTTATCTCTCTCGATATAAACTGTTAAATTTAAAAAGTTAATGGGATGGAACTTTGGCTATCTGGCGCTTTTTTATCCAGTGCATGGATATTAGGCACTGCATTGTAAATTTTAAAAATAAATAGGATCCGTAGAACTGAACTGAATCTCAAAATAAGTGCACTTGCAGCCCGTTTAATTTTTCTGAACATTTCAATGTTTAAAAACTGTCATCAGACTTATTTATTTAAAGGAATTCGAAAAGAAGACGTATAAGTGCAGTTTTTTAAAATCTTGAGATTTTGATGATTTCAACTGAGACTAGTCTTGAAGTTTATTCTGTGAAAAAATTCAATTTGTAAGCACCAAAAAGTGAGTCTGAACTTTCTTTCTGTCATAAGGTTATAAGATTAAACTTCTGACACATACTTGTTAAAATAGCAAAAACTGCTCTTATGCGTCTTGCTTTCCAATCAAGTCATTAAAGTTACCTTGATTGGTGCATTTGAATCTTTAACTTTACCCTGATGTTTTAAAGGTTGCTCAACATTTCCTAGGAGCCATTAAGATTTTCAACATGAGCTCCATGGAACACAAAATTTTTTAAGTTTCAAGTACGTTACGGAGCTTGTGGTAATGCCGATTTCATAATTGCCATTGTTTCGCCAGTGCCTGTCATCTTCAAGCAAATATGATGCTACGCAGCCTCTCAAAATTGGGATGTTGAATGTGCATTCTACTGCGAATTTTAAAGCAAACAATTCAGTTATTTTTGAAAAATTCAAAACAATTGAACAAGCCTGTCACGTCTCGCTTGGAATTTTTCACATGTTCTACAATTTTTGTTCAGGTATGGTTGCAATTTACTTTATGAGTGGTTATATTATCATATTTTCGTCACAGGTCCAATCAAGTTGCCTTTTTACCCTTTTGTTGAGTTTGGAAACACCCTCACCTGATCCGTTGAACATAGGTGAATTAGTGAGAGAAGAGCAACCTCTCAAAGCAATTGATTTTTGCTATCACGACGAAAGTGAGATGGTCACTGTGCTTGATTGTATCTCTCTATGTGTCATGGTAGTTGCCTATGCTGCTGACTCGCAACGATCGCATCAAATGTTGGTAAGAAGAACTTCACAGTATCTCTAAAGTGAAATATCGCTATCTATTTCTTGAGGCAATTGATGCCAAAATAGTAGATGTAACAAACAGTTACAGTCATTATATCCTAAATTTGTAGGTATGTATTGAGACCATCTTCCTGAGCTCAGACAAAGTGAATAAAGCTGTGGAAATACATTTTTGCTGGGTTGTAGTATACTTTTCCTTTGGCATAAGACCAAAAAGTTAATTTAAATGTTCAGGAAATCATTTCTAAGGTCAGAAATAGTTAGTAAAAATCCAATTAATCAGAAGCCGACAGTTGAATTGACTGAGGAAGGCAATGCCTGAAGCTGAGTTTAGTCAATCAGCAAACACTGTCTTTCCTGGCTGGCTGCGTCATCAGAGCCCATCAAAAATATCGTTCCAAAAAAATCCCATCGTCTGAGTTTTTCAAACGGGTTTCTTTGTCATTTAGGGTTAAAAAAAATCTGAAAAAATTCCTAAAATTGTAGTTCACTCTGTATTTTTTGAAAATGACTTTAAAAAAATGAGTGCCACTGACCCATTGGAATCTGATTGATTCATTCAAATTTAATTTTGTCTTTTACCAAAAGGGAAAACATTAAAAGGAGTCAACATTTACTTCCTCATGTGAATTCAATTGTCGCATGCACTGGACAAAACACTGAAACAAGCCCATCATATGCAAAAATGATTAAGTTCTCTCTTTTCTTTTGGTTCAATTTGCTATTTTGAACCTGTTTTTGGTGTCTGATGGAAACAATTAACAGGCAGGTTTTCTCATTTTGCAGTGATTTGGTTATTATATGCTTGCTTTATCGTAAATTTAATATTTATGAATTTTTGCCTAAGTAATTTTTTATTGAAATGAAGGCTTTTTCAATGCATCCAGAGACGCCATATCATGATTTTAATTTTTTTTTTATTCATACAAAAATGAGTAAAACCTGAAAAGAATTATGTCCTTCCCTGTTAAAAAACAATTTGTTTTCTAAATTAAACTCTGTGATTTTGCTGTTAGATTATCTTGGAGGCAATTCTCCCATGTTACTTGCGGCAAATCCAGTTACCAAGTTATCGGAAAGAGGGGAAAACAGAACGTGAAATCATCAGTCAGCTTGCGGTTGCCATTCAAACATTAGTAAATAATTGTGAAGCCTTGTCAAAGTAAGTGGCAAGTCATTGTTGTGACATAAATTTTCTTAATTTGCAAGCTTTAGCAATTAACTGAAAGTCCTTGTGTCAGAGAACTTGAGTAGGAAAAAAAATAAAAGAATAATATCTACACTTGTTGACTTGTTTTGTCCCATAAATAATGGAAATAAAATAAAATAATGGATAATACAAATTTAAAGTAATTGTTGAGTAATAAGAACCTAAATCAACTTACTGGGAGTGACTGTGTTGGCGAGAAAACAAAAAAAAAAAAAACAAAAAAAAAAAAAAAAAAAAAAAAAAAAAAAAAAAAAACAAGAGGCCATTGAAATATTTGATGTTCTGACGTAGTGCATAATAAATAAATTGATTGGACTTAAAATTTGGTATAGTTTATTTGATTGGACGTTTCATCAGTTCATTTAATATTTTTGTAGTTGATTTCTAATTTTCCTTTACCTAAGTTTGGCTGTACTTGGTGAATTTTCATGGAAAAATTGCGCCATTTAGCTTGTTATAAAAGTCTTCTCATTGGCATATCAAACACCGACAACAATTGTTAAAATGCAAGCCAACAACACAGGCCCTATTGACAAAAACGAAAGTAATAGCACATGATGTCAGCTCAGAACTGTGAGAGGCATAGGTATCGTTAACCAATCAAAATTTTTGCTGCTATGAGGGCTTTGATTTTCAACTCCATACCAGAAAGACTTTTTGTCCACTAGATACACAACTCTTGTTACATGTCTAGACATCTTTCATTGTTAAAATACAGGGCTTAGGAGCATTATATTATATTAGGAGATGGTGATATGCATTCTAATTTGATTGAACGCATCTTTTTAGCAGACTGTATTCTAATGTTTGACTGGTTTTTAGGAACTACAATGGTCCGCAGCGCTCAAGTCCTGAGCACAAGGGATCAAGCCAGCGCAATTTTAGTCGAGGTCCTTATTCGCCTGGTTTTGAATATGATGATGACTCACATTCTAAATATTTAAATGAAAGGAGCAGAACTAAACTAATGAACTATGAACGAGACATTGAAGATTATGAGGTAGGTTTATTTCCGAGCCCAAATGAAAAATTCATGTATTTTGTTCAAAACTATAAAGCATTTTTTATAAAGGGTACTTTTAATCTTTCAGGTTTATACAGTCAAGATTTTGGTATTTAATGTTATTTTCTCTCTAATCTTAATTTTTTTACATTTTTAAACTCGTTTAATTTCACCTGATTGATGAAGCGTAAATTGTTGATTGAGAGTTTGGGGAAAACTTGTTTTCTTGGATAACCCATGGTTGAAATTTGAACTTCTTTGTTTTAAAACTTGTAGAAAAAAATATTTTCCACCAAACTATAACATGCACCCTTCAATGAATGCAGTATCTCCGTGTCAAATAGAATTATAAAATGTGCTACATACGCTGTGTTATAATATTCTCTGTTTCAACATTAGGTGCTACGGAATGAATTTCGAAGACCACGGGATGTTTTACTTTCACTGGTTGCAGATTTTGTGACTAAATCGACTTCTCGTTTGACTGAGTTAAATAAAAAATATCCACAAGATGGCAAAACGGTTGAGCTTTTAGATTTTCGATCACACATTGTAAGTTCTTGTCTTTTAAATATCACTACCTATAGTATGATAGTATATGATGATAGTAGTATGATTAACGCACTAGATCTATTTCCGGACTGAAACTTTTACCTAATCAACTAGAATCTCTTCGTCTGCCTACAGTCATAAATATATTTACCTTGAGGATGGTCTCAATAAATTCAGAACAGAAATAGTACTGTAGTAGTAATAGCATTAAATGAGCTAGAAGTATTTATTATTTAATTTGTCTTGTCTCTAGCAGCATGTGCATAAATCTGGCTTTAATTTAAAAATGCAACTCTACTCTAGGTGCATGCATAATTATTGATTAACATTAGAGCTTTGTTGCAAATTATATGTGGCTGTGTTTGTATTGAGAACCATTCATTTGTTTGTTCTAAATTTAATATGTTCAATTAATTTGAAGTGGTTTCTTTGTCTTCTTAGCGATTAGCTGACGTTGCTCATAGTCTATTGAAAGTTTCGCCTTATGATCCTGACACAATGGGATGCAAGGGACTACAGAGATATATGACTCAGCTATTACCATCAACTGACTGGTCCGTGGATCAAATGAGACCCGCTCTCATGTTAATCCTTCGAAGACTGGACAAAACATTTCTCAAAATTTATAAAAAATATTCGATTCGAGTAAGTCTCTTTCTTTTTTATCACGCTGAAAACCTTTATGAAATTTACAACTCTTTTGTAGGAAGACCTGTCATAAATGCAACTAAACTTTTCTCTCGGTTTTTGGTTGGCTGGCATCTTAAATTTGTGGGCACTTTTCTCTCTCTCTCTCTGTTCTAAATTTTATTGCCCTTATTTCAGAGACACACTGATTGGGAAGCAGCAAGTGGTCTCTTAAAAGGCCTGTATGAAACATTGTCCCGACATCCTTACATCGTTCATCTTCAGCCATTAAAATCCATTGTCAACACCTGTCAGGTATTTATATTTTTAAATTCTTGCTGTATTGCGCGCGGTAAAATTTTTTTCCTCTTTCATGTGATTTAGGACAAAATTTTTGAGCCAGCTGTAATTCTTTCTCATGGCCGTCTTTTTTTTCGCAACTTACGGAGGCATCAGATGGTCATTTTATCAAATATATTTAATATGATGATAATGGAGAAATTACCCGAAAAAACTTTGTTTGATGTTAACTAAAAAATGTTTGATGACTAACTTCATAGTATTTTTTACAATTTTATTCTGACTAGGGAAATTGAAGAGAGTCGATTTAAAACTGAGAAAATTCACGGCTTTGATAGGGCATCCATGCTCATTTGAATAAGCATTTTTTAACAAACTCCATCATCCTGTCATAATCCCTTCAATGACTGTCCATTTTAGAAATGAATGATATTCTCGTGCCTCACTAAACAATAGTTTCTATTCATAAACAGAATTAATCAATTTTCTAATGTATGCAAAGTGTCGATTCTAGTATTCCTTTGAAAACTTGTTTTTATAGCGGAAAAGAAAATGTATCTCTTCTCCATACACACAGAATTTTTTCAAAAGAACTATTTTTTTCCCTTCTAATTACAGGGACTTATAGTTGGAGACTCATTATCAACTGGGGGTGGCGAAAATTTGTCCTCTGCGTCGGCTGCTCTTATGTCTCAAGCCCCTCCACCATATTTTTGCAAAATAGTAGTCAGCCTAATAGCTCTTCAAATTCTATGTGTTGGTGTGAGTATTTTTACAATATAAATCTGGCTTTCCTCCTCATTCTTTTCCTTTTTTATGTTTGCAATTCGTTTTGTCATCCTCACGTCCATGGCTAGTCATTTTTTATAGCACTGAATAGCAGTGCCTGCTTTTGTGGACAGGTGTTTCTCTTAATTCAAGAGAGGGACTTGTATTGGAACATGCATAGAGACCGTATCATGTCATTCTCGATCGGATTTCAGGAAAGTTAATCGATCCCACTTGTAGAAGTTATGTTGAAGCCCTCTGGGACCGATCATGTGGATGAAAAATATGATCCAGCAGGGAATTTCAAAATATCCGTTTCTTTGTGAGAGGTAAAGAAAAATCTGAAATTTCAAAAAGATAGATTAATCTATGAATGTTCCTACAAAATTTGCCAGTGAGTAAATTTAAGAAGATGGTATCTTGCATTTTGTGTCTAATGGTGTTTTTAGGGTTTCCTTTCGATAACTGTGCATTTGGAGGGGAGGAAGAGAGGTAGAGAAAGAGAAGTCAGAATACATTTTTCCCTCTAATCTAATGATATCTTTCTACTGTGGGAAAAATTGTTTTCCAAGTTATCAAATTTTGATCAATTGATGATCTCATAAATTTTTCTGTGACTTAGTAATTTTTAGGTCGAAGTGTGCAATCGTTTATTTTTCTATGTTTTGGAAAAAATTGTCTTTAAATTTTGTGTAGCTGTATGTCTAAACGTGACTGTTCAAGCGTACCAATACCATTCTCCCTGATTCCGACAAACCTTTTAGTCTTCTGAAGAATTGTTTCCTTTTTTCCAATGCAAGGCTATCCCATATCATTATATATGCCATTTAAACAATTAATTATTAATTTTGTATGCCGCCAACCAATTTTCTTGGCTTTTGAAACACTACATAAACATATTGGTTTGACATTTATTTCAGATTTTCAACCATCTGACTCCGGTGAGATTTTGCTCCCTTTTTCCCAGTTCTAATTTCCTGTTTTCTTTATCTCTGCTTTCTTATATGTGTAGCAGTTTCTCCTTTTCAAATTACTTTGAAACATGTAGCATCATTCTTTTATTAGTTTTCAGTATTTGCTACGTATTTATCTGTTGGATTATCCAATCTTAATTTCAACCATATCAAATGAAATTACTGTATATTTTCATCAGTTACTCATTAGGTTTAGAGTCTTTTTGTCCTCTTTTCTACCTTCTGTAATTACTTTTCTTCCTTCATTAAGACAATATAATTTAGATATCCTCTGAAAATTTACATTTTTTGTCGTAAAATTCCGTAAAATAAAATTTGACAGGCCTTGATCGATAATTGAGAAGCACAGTTCTAATCAACTGTCTTTGAAAAAATCAAATATTTTAAAAGTAGTATTTAGCATATGAGAGTTGATATAATTTTATTCTATTGATATCAAAGTGATAGTCAACAGAGGAGATGACGCAATGAAGAACAAAGAAGGAGGTGCTCGGCCCACGGATATGGTTTCAGTCATACTTCGATAAAATTTTAATAAGATGTTTGAAATGTCACTCTATGCCAAAGCCAAAAAATATATTTAATTGTGTGGTAAGAAGCCAAGAGAGGCTTAGAATTCCTCCTTTTTGTCTTTGTTTTGTGAAAAACTACCTGCAGGATGAGAAAAATCAGTGTCTGACGCTTTAAGTTGCCGAAACAAAACTGACAGATTGTAGAAAGAGGATTCCAATATTTATGTGCATCAGAGAATACTGCATGCGTGGTTCAAGTAAAAGAGCAAAAGAATTAGGAGAGAAAGACTGCAATTCCTTTAACTCAAAGCATTATCACATGAAATGTTGTTGATTTTTGGCACATTTGATTGGCCATTCAATTTATTTTTTGGCTTAAGACCTAAACAACTTATTAATCTTCCATCAAAATGTACTTAAAGCCATATCAAGAAGGCCTGATGCCCCTTTCCTTGGTCTTACCATCTCTCCTTTCAAAAATATCAACCCAAAAATTCAAAGTTGCAAGATTTTTTTCTCTAGAAATATTAATTTCATATTCTCAGTCCTCAAGAAATAAATTGTAGACCAACCGTTACTATTCTAAAAGCTAGTCTTCATGTCAGTTTTGACATCTGCAATCATAAATCGATTTTGAATCATTTCGTTTTGACAATTTTCTTTAGGTCAACATTTAATTGGAAATTTAGATTGTCAACAATTTATCAGTTTGGTTAGTTCTATTATGTAAATAGCCTCCATCTAGTGTAAAAAATGTACTTATGTGTAAAATTTATATCTCATTTCGTTGCTCTGCTGGCAAGAGGGTTCAACTACATTCTGAGAAGAGCGCCATATCTTTGTTGGAAATGTACCTATGCCCTCTTGAAAGTCAAGCAATGATTTGTGACTTGCAGCTGCATAGGACGTTTTAACAGGAGTTTGAATGTGTTCTTATATCCTTTCCATCAGTTTTGACTTCTTGTTTGTTTTGAATGAATCTATTTACTTATTTTCTCCTTTTCTACTTCAAAATTGGTCAAATTTTCCACATGCCTTTGCTAAGTCAAATTTTAAATTTTGACAATTTTATTGCATTTGTTAGGCAAGTTTGTTGGTACTGGTAGAATTCTGACAAAAAATCCAATACATAGTATTCAAATAAATTCAAAACGAACCTTTGAAAGCCATTTCAGAGCACGTGACGTTTGCTTCAAGAAAACTTTTTGTGGAAAGTGAGGCCCTGAAATGTTCTGTACCTAATATTATTACTTGATATCCGTATTGCAGTCTCCTGATTTTATGATTAAATGTGGCCTTTCCAATCTAATTAGGCTACTCTAAGGCTCAAATTTCTATACTCCAAAATCTTCCAACAGTCATAAGTTCAGCCTTGGACATTTTGATCTCTGTAAAAAATGACCTTCTAATATGTATTTCATATGTAGCCATAGTTTCATGTTTTATCATATCAGCCTGACCTTTTTTGATATCACAAATTGGACATCCCTTAGTAGGAGATATCTATCTACAAAATGTTTAATGCAATGTTAGCTAACAAAGCATTACAAAGAGCTGAACATTTTCTTCTTTTTTTAAAAAATTTTGAACTCCTTTTATAATAGATCCATTCTGCTAAGTGATGTCTAATTACTGCATGAGAGATTTTTTTCCCTCCTGAGTCTACTTTATTCTGTAAAATCTCAATCTAGTTTTCAAAATCATTAGGGGAGTACGTAATGTTTTTTCTGCATTTCAAGTCTCTTCTATTGAAGTAATTTTGCCAAAGTAAGCAGAGTGGACAAAAGATGATCGGCAAAGAAATATTTTAAGCTTTATCATAGCACACATATCTTATTCTGTCAGTGATAATAAATATTGCAAAATCAGGAGGTGTTGCAAAAATTCAAAAATTATAATTTGAAAAAAATATTGAGTTTTGGTCAGGACAATCTCTCTACGTGTTCTGCTTTTCTCTAGTTTGAGATTCCCTTGAGTTTATTCCTTTTAAATGAATTTTCTCACTCTCCCCTTTCCAAATGTTTTCTCTGTCTTGATGTAAAGATTGCAGTCTTTCCTCTATCTTGATATAACATGTTTGTTTTGCTGAAATGATTGCGAGCTGTGTTCTTTTGAAAAAAATTGGTTTTGAAAAGTTTTCATGGAGTTTTACATTATCTGCATTTATGTACACTTAATTTTAACAGATTACAGTGTATGAAAGATTCTCTCATATTTTCTTAGTTATAATTTTCAACAAATTTTCATCTATTCTTCAATATCTATGTGAATTAGACTTGTGAAAGGGGCAAGTCAAAATCAGGGTCTGAATGAAAATCGAAAATAGCTTAAAAAATTAGTGTTAGCAAACATCAAGTGAATTTCTCTCATCATAATGTGTCTGAGTAACACCTGCCAACTAGGCAGTATAGTTGATTTTTATGCAAAATCCATGTCTCGCAGGGTATTTTTATCTGTGTCAATATTAGTCTTGTGAACTCTTACCCTTATGGTATGTCTTGACATACATTAATTGTCTCAACACATTTCATCCTATCATATACTTTTTATCTCTTTTGATGCATTACTTTGGTTCTTGGGTAATAATACTAAACTGTGCCTCAATCAAGACTGATATCTTTTAATACTCAAAAGTAATCTCTCTGTCGCTACTTTGTCAATTGTAGGTAATAATCTAATCGGGTCTCCAAGGAAGCCTGCCACACGAAACCTTTCTTCTACTTTTTTGTGAAGCATTCCTACATGGTCTTCATAGCATGTTTTTCATTTAATCGTACATAAATTGAATTCCATATTAAAAAACTTGCAGGGTCATCAAGTCAATTTAAAAAACACAAGGGGTATGGGTATTTGTGGAACTATTGCAAGCAAAAAGATTTTGTGTAATGTACACGTGTTTTACAGTTGAAATTGAAACTTTTGACATAAGCAGATCAAATAATTTGTGTTTTTCTATTGTTCTTGCAGGAAAATTATACGCTGGAACATGTTTGTGGAGGAAGTTCTGTGTTTCCCTCCCAAGATAGGACAGAAAACATGCTGATGAACTTCTTAATGCCTTTGTGCCTTCATATTGGTGTTGGTAGGAAAGGTATGTACTTTCTTAATGCTGCTTTTTTGTACCTCCTCTCTTTTACGCACCCAAAAAACAAAAAATACCAGTTTTCCAAACCAAAGTGACCAGTTGCAATGCAGGTTGCAAATATTACATACACCTGAATTTTTCTAATTGATGAGCTTAGAGACGACCCCCCCCCCCCCCNTAGATATTCCATCAGTAAAGCCCTAAGGGGCTACAAAACCAAATTATTTAAACTTTGTAAAAGTGTACATACAGTAGTAAAAAGTCAAATCTGGTTGGTTCTAAAATGTTTCCACAGCAACTCAAGTTAACAAGTTACAACTTTTGATGTTTCAGATGTCCAGGTACAAAGTATGAGGCAAGCAGATATCAGTTTCACCTTGACTGTTGTTCTTCATGCTTTAATGCCACCGACGACAAAAACATGCCCTGTCACTGCTCAGAATATCAAAACCGCCTCAGAGATGCGGACTGGCTCCCTTACATTCATAGGTCGTGACTCAAAGCAAAATGCTGTCGTACCAAAACATTTATATGAAGTCTCATTTCTTGGTAAGAGATCTTTCATTTATACAGAGATTTTTCGATTAGAATCTCCAGAGTGTGTCCTGAACAATATCATTAAAAAGTTTTTTGCTAGAATGAATTGATTTAAAAAAAAACCATTTTGGCAAGGTTTTAAGCCACCTTTTGTCTTTAATTTTCCTCTTTGTTTTGCTGTATGCACTACTTTCAACTTTAAGATGAATAAAAGGGACAAAGAAATCAAATGTTCCTGCAAAATGTAGACAGAATAACTTTGGTTTTAAGAAGGAGACTCATGACATGTTGCCTGAAAAGACAGGATAATTCAAAATACACAGGGAGCAGTATATCTAATGATGAATTGATTTTTTAAAATGTTTAATGCTTATAATTGACAAGTAAGTAAGATAGTGAGAATTTTGCATAATTATCAAATCTAGCCCAGCTTTTTTGATCATATTTTTAATGCTGATCTTTTCATTTCTATTTTAGCACTAAAAATGATGGTGGTCTGTTTTGAGCCGGAGCTTGTCAACGACTGGCCGCGTATTGCCAAAACAATTCGAGATATTTCAAAGTTACAACTTCCGTTGGATGTGCGGGAAATGTTTTGGAAATTTATTGATTTCATAGTCACCCAAAGATGTCCTCTTTTCATTTTACTTCTTCCATTTATTCACCAAAGAGTAAGTCATTTAGTATTTTACAACTGTAAGAACAGTTTTTGTTTTGTTTTTTGGTTTTAATTTTTGTTGAATCTGAACTAAAGCCTCATTTGCATTTAGAAAAAAACAAAACAAAAAAAATTATTTTTTATCTTTGACCGTGAACAGAAAATTTATTGTTGGCGCCCCAACTTCGAAAAAGAGTGCGAATTAATTTTTAGATGAATTAAATGTCTTTTCAATCGCCCGTTTTTGCATGTTTTCCACATGAACTTTTACTCTCTGTTTATGTTACATCCGTGGGTGTATAAAAAAAATAGTTTCTTAAGCCAAAATCAGGAAATTTTTACAATTTAAACGAGTGTCTAATTTTATTTACAAATTTTAGGAGCAATTTGTATTGTACATAGTTCTAATTTTCAGGTCCTTTGTAAAATTTTTCAAGAGCCAAACAAGTTTTGATAACAAAACAGAAATTATGCAGTGAGTAAGATTGTATCAGAGATCAAGGCTGTATAAAGTTTTTAGGCGTCACATTTGGAGTGCCACGTCTCATTTGTAGGTGCCAAAACCTGATTTTTAGTAACATGTGGCGCAAATGCTAAATGATAGCTTAAATATCATGGAAAAAATTACTTAGGTGTCTCTAGGTAGACAGAGATTTTTACTTAAATGTGAATGATTCCAATAAGTACCTTCAATTTTAAGTTCTCAGTAATTTTTAAGAAAGGTTGAGAATTTTGCAGACCAAATTTCTATTATCAAACCCTACTCAAATAAGACTACAAGTGTGAACAAGCTAACCATTTTCATCGCTCCACTTTTAATGTAAATATTGGTTTTACTTATTGCCTCAGTTTTGGATTAAAGTGTTTACGTTCATGATTTCAGTTACTTCTCAAACCCTTCTCAGAGGAGGAAAGGCATTTGTATACCTCAATTAAGGAGAAATTAATGGGGCAACTTCCCCCACCAAAATGCAGAGCACTTCTTCTGACAGAACTTTTCAAAGAAATGAAAGACCTAAAAGAAAAACTGGAGCTTCAGAAACAAACCTCAACTATAAACAAAGAAAAAACCGTACAAAGCTCAACAAGTGATATGTTACTTCACCAACGACACCATCGCCCATCGTTGATTGATTTTTGGCCCGGGAGTGGCTCTCATATCGATCAACAAACATCACATAGAGAATCGCAATCCAGTACACCTGAAAGCTTTGCTTTTTCCGAGAAGACAAAGTTCTCAGCTGGTGCTGATGCACTGAGTCCGGATGATGATAATTCTAATGAAGTTAATGGGAGGACCAAGTCAAGGCTTCATCGGTCCAAAGCGCAGAGTGGACGCACTTTTCGCTTACGGAAAAGCAGAATAGAGGTAATAATTTATTATATTTGTGGGACTGAAGCAACACTCGTTGCTTGAAGTTTTTTTTTCGTGCAAATTCGTGACCGGCATAATCAATGGTCCAGACGATTCCCAAAAAGCTGTTATGAGCGCATGCATAAGTGTTTCATGTGCAAATAGTGCTTTTGCTATTCTTTCATGAAATAATTTAATTTTTGCACAGTAGAATCTACATTAAATAGGTCAAGCTCAGATTCTGCTCAGAAAAAAAGTTTCCAAAACAAGGATTAAAAAGTAATAATGCCTTATTTTATCTTCAATTTTTTAGTGTTTGCCAAGATGGTAGTTGCTCTTCTAATGCAAACCCTATCAATGGCTAATGTGCGAAACCACGTATTTCCCTTTGAAACATTGTAGACTTTGTGTCATACTTTATTTTTCCTTTTGAAAACAAGTCCACATAATTCCTCAAAAACCTCCTTGATTTTTCTTCTCTGTTAGCACAATATTATAAATCATTCAAGCTATAAAGTTAGCTTGTCTCTCTTTGAAAAATAAAAACAAGTGGAAATTTTGAAACTTCGCAATAGGGATACGTGGTTTTGCACTTTGGCCATCGATATGCAGTGTAATAGGGTGTAACATGTTTGACAGAGATTCCCTGTGTTTTCTTCCCTGTCTTGGTTTTTTGTTCTATGCCATTTGCATCGCTCCATTTTCTGAATTCGAGCCATCTCTTTTGAAAGTTCCATGTATTTCCTGCTCTTCTCTCTCTTACAATACCATATAGCTTTCCTCTTATTCCTACAGCTTACTCTCGCTCTGAAAGCCTCCTCTTTGCAAGGCGCCGATGGCCACTGCCTCTCCTTTCGTGCAGCCATCCGCATTTACACATGTACTAAGTTCTTTTTCACTCCCCTGGTCCTTGCTTATCAATTGGACGTATTTCTGTCAAACAGAACTATGTGCATTAAGACATGAGCCCTGAGAATCATTAGAATGTATGCTTGACAGGGCTCACATCATAATGCACATTGTTCTGTTTGGCAGTAATATGTCCAATTGCTCATCATGGCAAGGCCACAGTATAGGGGCCTTCCGCTGTCCGCTCAGTACCATCGGAATGTTGATACAATCTCACAGATTGCTTTCTATTTATTGAGGCCCAAGCAAGTCATAAAATCCACTTGCAGCTTCAACTGTTTCAAATGTTCAACGAATCCTATTTTTCTTAGACCGGTTTCTATCACCTCTTGTTCCTCTTCCCATCTGTATCCATTTTTATGGATGCAAACTTTAGTACCCCTGTGCAGTGTTAGAAATAAAATAATGAACTTTTATTACTTTGAAATCTTTTGAGGAAATCCGCCCAGTATTTACTGCCCTTTCATCTGAAGTTAAATTTTTCATTTATATGGATTTGTTTCCCTGTTACAGAGTAATCACTCTAGAGCATCCAAAGAGCAAAATAAAGATAGTAATTTAGACTATATGGAGGCAAGTCAGGATGACCCAAATGATTCGTATGATCCTCAACAAGTGCGCTATCAGTATTCTAATCAGCTTCAAAATGGTGACTCCAAGATGGATTACATTAAAACACCACCTGTCAAAATACCCCATTCTCAGTCATCCCTCGTTCGATGTGTTTCCAGGAATGAGACCTCATGGGATGAAGATAGTATACTCTCACAAACTTCTAGTACCTCTGGTGAGATCAGTTCATAATTTCTAATTATCTTATTGCTGTGTATTTTAATTGGAACAAATAATCAATAAAACACTGTTGAATTTGCATGTATCTGATTAATCTCATGCGAAAGTGCTGGGAATCTTTCTCATGTATTTTGTTGTAACAAAGATTTCATCAAAGCATTTCAAAATCATAAGTTCGTCTGCACATTTACAAAGATGAACAATATGACTAAAACAATAAATTAATCAGCCTCTAATTTTTTATCATCTTTCTTTCTCTAAATCACCTCTCGGCAAATCAACATGCAGATAGAAGAAATGTTCAGAGAATCATAACTTTAGATTTCTCTAGTATTTCAGATGATCAAAATCTGTACATGAGTGAATCATGCTAAGGAGCGAAAACTGTGCCACTTTTTAAAAGGGGAAAAAAATTTAAATATTGAACAATGCGCTTTCAATTTTTTTTTTTTTGGTCAATTTGAGTGATCACTATAAATAATAAGTGAACATATTTTTTTAACACATCTGTTGAAAACATTGAATTCAGGATGACATAATCATCAGTATTCAGATAATTCTCAAGAAAATCTCGAAGACTTTCCTAACGGTATAACAATATTACAATACATCGAAAGTAAGCTTTTAAAACTACTTATCTTGGTTTGTAGCGTTAGAGACTCCTCGTCTTTTTTCACTTTTCTGGAACAAAAAATCATGGTCACAGTACATAACTTCCTGCGATTTGTCTTACCTCTCTCAAGAAGACTGTCTGAAAATTTCTCACAAAAATGTCCTGTAAAATTTCTTTCAAAAAATAAACAACAAGCTGAAATTTCTAAACTTATTTCACAATCAAGGTCTATTTTTTGCAGTTTTACTGTAAATGCACAGTACTACGCATGAAGTTAGTTCCAATTTCTCTCTCTCTGATTTAATTTTTTTCTGTATGCAGGTTATCGGGAGAACTGCAGTCTTCTAATGATGGCTTTTGAAAGTCCACCAGAATTCAAAACACACTTTCCTCACTCTGTGAGTTCAAGCACTGTTGTTCCTCCCTCTCCGGACAGTGCGTCACCACCTCTATCCGTTAGCGGTAGCACAGTCCACTCTCTCAACATAATGATGTGCGATGCTCAGGAGGAAGATACCCTAATCTAAAACCTAACCTTCCTAAAACTAGGAAAAATATTTATTGAAGCTACCTTCACATGGAAAGAAAACTAAATACGTATGACGCAGTATTACAGAAGAAAGAGAATAAACTGTGATGAAAAACTAACTTGAATCTGGCCACATGAGAGGACCCAAGATGATTTTTAGTGGCTTATGTATTGACATTTTATTTCATGTTTCTGTGCAAGATGTATATCAACAGTGTAAGTCAGCAATCGCATAACTCGTTTACGGTGTCTGAAAATCTCCGCCTTTATGTTATTTTTTTTAAAGGAGAACAAATCTACATCATTTCTTAAAGTTTTTGCAGAATTTTTTTTGCACAGAGAAGAAAAATCAAGGCAGTTTTAAAGAATTGCCTTTGAGTAAGTTTCCATTTAAAAAATTAAGTATGACAGGAAGTCTGCGACGTCGCTAACCGAGTTACGTGATTGCTGACTTACACCGTCGACATGCAATTTTTCAATGTATACACTATGTGCATTTTGAATGACTGTTAGACAAAGTGACCCGCCCTATGGTTCTCGTCCCTCTCTCTTCAAATAATCAATTAAAAAGCTGAACTGTAAGAATTTTGAAAACTAGACTGAAGAAATTATTACCTCTCAAACACACTTAAGATGTGATAATTAAGTGACCTCAAGTATTCTTGTAAGTACAGTTGGTAATTTCTGAGGAATTTTGTCAGAACCCATTTTTTTATATCGGTTTATCATTGGAAAAAAATAAATCTATCAGTTTTTGCATTAAATAGAGACATGGATTTTAATCAAGACAATAATTTTAAAAATGCAAAATCTTACAGTTCAATCCTTTCATTTTTTTTTGCTTGAGATGTAGGCCAAAAACCATTTTGTGATATGATGAATTTGCTCCGTGGTTTTTAACAATACTCTTTGTATAAGGGTAGTATCATATTTTTAGCCAAAAGCATTCTATGAAAGAATTTAATTTTTTCAGGCAGTGGCATGACAGAATTTTGCTGGGCTCCTCCCTTGATGGTGTTTCTTTATTTCCATGATTGAATTAAGTATGTAAATCTTCCTCAATGAAAACCTAGATGAATGAAAGGGATTCTTTGTACTGCTCATGTATGTTGTCAATAAATAATTAAAAGGAGACTCCTTTTCTTTCAGATCATGTTTTTGCATTTATGATTGTAAAATTTTTATACTAACGCCCTGCTGTATTGCTTTGCTGTGGAAAAGAAACCTACCATTTCGGGTCCAAAAGATCATCTTTTATTCGTTTTTCTCATTTATTTTTTTTTAATTTATTTTTTTTTTACTCAATTCAAGTCCTTATATTCTAGTCAATGATAAAAAAGTTCAAAATAATGTTGAATATTGTTATGGTCTGGTTTCAAGAACCTTGCCACTGTTATCATTTGATTTTTTTTAGCTACATAGCATTTTTTTTAGGTCTTATAATTTTTTTTTTTTTTTTACATCATGATTAAAATGTACAGGTAAGATAGAATTTAAGAAAATTAACGTTGTTGACACTCTTTTTAGATTTATGTACTGAGAAAAATTCTGTGTACATTTGGCGGGTAAACGTTTGAAGATTCTAGAATAGACTGCATTTTAGTTACCCTAGTTTTTAATTTTTACTCAAATGTTCAATAGTTTTAAAGCACTCTATTGTATTTTAATGATTCTGTTAAAAAGATTTTTTATCACTTGATGTTAGTTTATCTAGTTTTTGCGTTATGTGATTCATACAATTTCAATAAATATTCAATTCATTATGATAGATTGATGCTTTACTCTTTCTTTCTTTGAGGTACTCAACATACATTTTTCCTTGAGTGAATTTCTTTTTGAAGTATAGTTAAGAATAACAACCTCTAATAATGATTATGTCATCATAAATTTACTTCAACAAGTACTTTAAAAAATTGTGGCAGAAAATTAAAATATGCGAAATTACTTGTTCCTAAAAAAGTGATCTTATCATGATTAGTGAACAGGACACTATTACTAAGAAAGATAACCTTATTAATAATCAGAAATAGCAGTGTCCAACAGTATCATAGTGAAGAAGATGTGTTAAAAGGTTGCAATTTTAAAATTGTAACTTGGCAACATTGCCACGCGGAAGGAGAATCTTTCCTACGGCTGAAATGTTCAGTTTGCTCAAAAATCGAGTCATCAAGTCGAGATGTGTGGAAGATTTTTTTAAAAATAATCTCCTTTCTTATTAAGTTCAATGCAAGGGTGCTTCATAAAATTTAATCTGCCAAACGGCCATGTTTCCCTTTTTTGCATTTCTAGAATTTGGCAAACTCGCAAATAGCAAAGTATCCAATGCCTCAATCGTAAAATTCTTAGTTTTTTATGCTCTTTCGAATGAGGTATCACAAGATAGGGGTTGCTATTTGAAAACAAAGTTGGGGGGCCCCGCTCCCCCCTGAGGGGGGAACCAAAATTTTGACCCTCCCCCCAAAAGATGGTCCCCTTTGAGATAGGAACATTCCTTAAGTTTCATTTCCCTAGCTGAATTCTTTCGAAAGTTAGCAGGGGTGGGCGGACTTTTGTTACACCCTGTATTATTTTAAGTCCAACGATGTATCATACCTCTCGTAGTTTAAGCGGATCCAGGGGGGGGGGATAGGGGGCTTGCGCTCCCCCTCCCCCCCTCCAGCCCGAAAAGAAAGAAGAAAAATGGCTTCATTGCGATTGTTCACATCGAGTTTCAATCATATTCCGTGCCGAATTCCGTGTGCTCGCTCATACCCTCACTAGCTGTGATACAACTATTGCTGCTTGAGGGAGCCCGTTTTGCCTACCCCTTCAAATGAAGGCGAATCGGTTTACAGTCGTTCCACGCGCGATATTCCGGTGTAGCGCCTCGGCAAGTCGGCAGTATTTTTATTTAGATCTTGATGAATATCACGAAATGGACAAAGTTTGAGGGACAAGGTCAGGTGCGTAAAATTTGATCAATGGGCGGCTCCGAGGCTTGGATTAGTCTTGGCGCCGAGACAACAAATTCTCTCGATATTTCCCGTTTGTCTGGCGGCTCGCGCAGGCGTCCCTTTAATTTTCCTCCTCTTGTTCCCCTCCTCCTCATTCAACATTTGTTTACTTTCGCTACGGTTGAGATAACTGAAATAGATTCCGCAGTCTTGTGTCGGACGCATAGTTTCGCGGTCAGTTCCGATTGAGGTAGGTACCAAACATTCATCTCGTTCAGTGTCAAGTGAATTGAATTAAACAACTCCAAAAATTTAATTGAGACCTACCTACTCTGCCAGCCTAAGTAAGAAAGCCGTATCAGCCACCAAAGTTGCCCAATTTTCTTTGACAAATCACGAATTTTCAGGTAAATTTTTGAATGTTTCTTCTCGATTGTTCACAGGACTTCGTTCATGATTTGATCTAAAAAGTCTGAAAATTTCGAGGAAAAATATTTATAACTTTCTTCAAAAATACCTAAATATTTCCAAAGAAGAAATTCGGCAACATTCAAATATGCAAATTACTACATAAACTTAAACCGTGCAATATGCAACAACATAGTGATTCAAATATCGACGGTGAAACTACCAAACCACGTATCTCGGTTTGCGACGTCGCAGACTTCCTGCCGTACTTTATTTTTTAAATGAAAAACTACTTAACGTCCAGTCTTGAAAATTTTTGTGATTTTTCCTCATCGTGCGGAGAAAACTCTGTGAAATTTTCAAGGAATGATATTGATTTGGTCTACTTCAAAAAAAATAAAATGCGAGCGTAGATTTTTAAACACCGCAAACGAGATACGTGGTTTGGTAGTTTCACCGTCGATATGCACTTATACGGCTTTTTTACAATGCAAAGGCAGTACTGCGTACTTCACTGTTACATGTTTCTACAATAAGCACCATTAAAAGAGTTATGAAAATTTTCACACTATTTTATCAACTAGTTGACCAGTGGTTTTCCGGTTCAGTTTGTTGTGCCTGGAAGATGTCCCTTTCATCAGCGACAGAATAGACATAAGCTGCCATTTCCTGCCACTCATTCTCAGCAGAATTTTATCCTCCTCAATAATGAGACCCACCAATTAAGCGTTACACTTACTGATGCTACACTTTATCGGAGTGCCGCAATATTAATCATACCAACGTTGAAACTACCAAACCACGCATCTTGGTTTGCGACGCAGTAGACTTCCTCCATACTTAATTTTTTAAATAGTAACAGGGGCGGATTAAGGGGGTGGCCACATGGGCCGCGGCCCATGCGAAAAATTTAGGCGGCGGCAAATTTTACAATTTCTTTAACTGTAGGTGTAAAAAAATCGGATTCAGAATAAAAATTATGAATGAGAAAAGGGGACGAAATCTCTCTTTATTCCCGAGAGTATAGTCGTTTCTAATTTTGTCGTTTTTCGGTGATACAAGAAATAGCATCTTTAATTAGTAGAGTGAAGAGAGGAACTAAACACGCAATTTGGCCTGGAGCTCAACGCAGAGAGGAATGATGACGAGGACTTGAGATGAAAAAGACAAGCCCTCGGCGCGGCGATCGGCATGTAACACATATTAGCGCCTACAAGACTGCATGAATACTTCACCCATTGCGCCAAACACAGTGCGGTCAGGAGCGGTTGGCGTGAAACGTATAGCGCCTACAAGACTGCAGAAATACTTCACGCATTACGTCAATCACAGTGCGATCAGCGTGGCGCGGCGGAAGTTAAAATTATTAAACCACATTTATGTTTGTTCTTTCATAATTTTTTGGTTAATTTCTTATAAATGGAGGACCTTGTCCACATAGAGATAGGTTTACGGAACTTAACTTTCGCGCAAAGTTCCGTGAAATTTTGCTAGTAGGTAAAGTTGACAGGGCTTTTGCAAAAAATGTATCCAACACGAGTAGGTAAACGCGTCTCATGCACCCCTCCCCCTCTGGCACGTTCATTTGATAGTTTTTATTGATGTTTCAAAACGAATGAGAAGGCGGCGGCAAAATACAGGCGGCCCATGGGCGGCAAATAGGTAAATCCGGCCCTGAATGGTAAACGTTTTTCGAGTTGTTTATAACTCGTTCTCCAGTGGGTTCGTTGCAAATGGAGCAAAATGTAAGACGACCACCAGATGGACGACCATAGTAACGATATCATTCATAGGTTCAGTCAAAACTCATGGAGCCATAGAGGTGTATGTTTTTTTAATAGATTACAAATTGCGCTCTCCGGTATATTTATTACCTATCCTGAGAATTGAAGGCGAGATCCAAACAGACGATACCTACCAACAGAGTGACACGTCGATTATTAGTTCGGTGGAGGCATGCAGCGGGATGACTATGTTTTCGAATAGCTCGCTAATTGCGCTCCCCGGCAAAATCGATACTTATCTTTATTTTTCATTTTATACCTCCTCTTTTTCTTAATATATCTTTTGCCAAAAAAAAATTTAGGGCCAAATTTAGAGCTTTTCAACCAAAAGCCGCAGTCTGTGGTGCTATCCTCTCTGCACCTCACCGAGAAAGGGAAGTTTAGTGGTAAAATTTCGGCCCTGGGGCCTGTTACGGAAAGATTTCGACCATTTCAAACGCCTTTTCAGCCATTTTTTGGCACCCATGATTATAAAAAAGAGCGGGAAAAGGCCCCATTACCTTGATTATAAGTTTATAAGAACAGGGAAAGAGAGGCTATAGTCTAAAAGAAAATATGTAATTTATGTCGAAAAAGCGGAGGAAAAGAAACCTTTTGGTACGGGCCCCTAAGCGAGCGCCTATTGTGCGTACAAATGCGACCCCAAAGAAATCTTTGAAATTCAAAAACATATTTTTTCCGGATTTTTGAATCCTCTTTGAGACACAGAATAATGGAGCCGAATATCTGTAAGCAGTTACATATGGTAAGGTATGGATTAACTGTAACCCCTTCACATATTCCTCTTTGCTATTTCGTCACATTTGAGGGGCTTGGAAGACAATGCACATAAGTGCAGTTTTTGAAAAAATTGAGATATTAAAGATTTCATGTACAACTAGTCATAATGCATATTTCGGGAAAAATTCGCTCTCAAATTCCAATTTTTAACCATGAAAAAGTCAGTTTGAACTTTTTCTCCGCCATAAGGATCCATATAATTTCGAAACTTCAAACATGTATTTCTCGAAATAGCAAAAAGTGCATTTATGCGCCTTGTCCTTCAAGCCCATCATTTGACATTGTCTCGCCTTGATCCCTGTTCGTTGGAAAAATTTCTGTGGAATTGCTTCTCGATTTTATGATACCACGCAGCAAAATGCATAAAATGCACGTGCAATTGACGTTAAAACGTGAAATTGGCTCCCGCACCAGTAAAAAGAAAAATTTGGCACGTGTATTATCCCAGCGAACGCATGAGTTTTAGCGGAAAGGCGATTCGGACCAGGTGAAAATATGCCCGACCTCTAGGGCTCCCGCGGTGAGAACTCTCTGTTTTCGAATGTTTTGCGGAGGCTGTTTTGATGACGTCACGGTTGAAAAGATTCTGTTTGTTTTTGACGTTTTTTCACGCCGGATGGCATGGCGGGAGCCGCTTCCTTTTAAGGTACCGCGGTGTGTGTCGTCATGCGTAGGCGAGGTTCGTTTTTTCCATCACGGCTTGAGTTACTTTGCGAAACGATCGTTGAACGCCGGTATCATTTGCGTTTTTATCGCATTATGCTTCCCGAATTATTGTGTAAAGTTCCTTGGACGCTGGGCGGAATGTACGAACTCTTAATTTCAATTCTTAGAGGGCGGTTTAATTTAATTTTTTTTTTTTTTTTAATATAAAAGAAACTAAGGTATTATTTTTGAGGTCCGTTGCAATTTAGGTAACGACAGGTTCGTAAAGCAACCGAGAGAGAACGGTGATAAAAGAGAGCGTCAAGATTATTAAAGAACTATAGTGGTAAAGTCCAATATTTTTTTTATAGATAAACATTTTTAGGAGGTACATGTGAAAATTTCCCGAGGTTTTTTTAATTGGTTTATCCCTCCATTTTTATGTCTGATAATGTGTCATTTGTTCTGCGTATGTTAAACGTTCAGCACTGAACACTTTAAAAACTTGTAAAAATTCAGGCATCAACAACTGCTTAAGAATATATGCAAGGTACACGAAGGTATATTATAAGGTAGGTACACGAAAAAGTCATGAAACGTATTATCACATCTCACGACTTATTAAGAGACCGAGTTGCGATGTGAGGCTTAGAAATACCAAATTGTAAAAATTTTCAATTTGACACCTTTTTTTTAGAATTCGTGAAAACGAAGTTTTAGTTTCTGATGAGATAAATTGCTTTCAAGAGCTACTTAATTGCTCCTTTTAGAATTTTTTCCCAAACCCCTCTCTTTGAGAGAAAAATAAAAAATTTCAAAGTTGGAATCAAGAGAAATACAGGATTTCATTTTTGCAACATGATGAAGTAAAGCCTACCAACTACAAATCTACTACGTTACTTTTTTTGCCGTAATAATACAAAATCGCATGTGCATATAATTTTCTCAAATTGTGGCATGCCTACCCAATTTCTCCCCTAACTATCACTCCAACTGTACGCATTATGAAGAATTTGACTGCGTAAATTTGGACGGCAGAGCTCATTGCAAGAGGCTCATACGAGCAGTCAGGTCATTGCCTCATTGCAGCAAACAGGAATGCTTTTAACAGTACAGCATCGTTTAATTAGATCGTTGATATCCAGTCCAACCCACATGCATTCCATCGTTCACACCTAGTAAATTAGCGGGGCTATAGAGAGGATGTTTTGACTTTCCTTCGCTTCGCGCAAAAATTGACGTCACCCGAACGATTTTGGGGCCCGCGAGAAACGCGCGTTCGCTGATATCTCCTGTTGAGCGTATGTTGGCTTTGGTCCAAAGTTAGATTAGCCTACTCCCACGACATCAATGAAAGAGGAACACCCCCCCCCCCCGCCCCAGCTCCTCTGTATTTATTCGCCCGTCACTTCCGCACTTCCGGTCTCCTCCCAAAGTCATCCGTTCATTGTCGCCGAATCGCAATGCGGGGATGTATAAAATTTCGGTGATACATTTTTCAATTTCGGCGAGTCAGTTTCTTCGAGTGTAGCAAGAGCAAGCCTGGTGTAGTATCAATGCAAGGTTGCCGACGCGTAGTGGATTGAGTCAATAGGAGAGGTCGGACAAAATTTGGAAACTTTAAAAGCTTATAACTCCGTTTATACAAAACTTTCTAAAATTGGTTTCATTGGTTTTCTCGTAAAATTGTCTTCCAAGCACTGAAAAAAAAATTGCTAAAATACGGTGACAAATCACCAAATTAGTTAAATCAACCCGGTGTTCTTAATCTATTTTGATGAGTTGTCACC